CCCTAACCCTAGCCATTAAATTTTGAGTTTGTAAACCCTAACCCTAGCCTATTTTGAATTTGTCAACCCTAACCCTGGCGGCTAAATTTTGATTTTGTAAACTTTAACCTGTTTTGAATTCGTCAAACCTAACCCTAGCCTATTTTGAATTTGTCAACCCCAAACCCTAGCCATTAAATTTTGAATTTGTCAACCCTAGCCATTAAATGTTGAGTTTGTAAACCCTAACCCTAGCCTATTTTGAATTTGTCAACCCTCACTCTAGCCTATTTTGAATTTGTCAACCCTAACCCTAGCCGTTAAATTTTGAATTTGTAAACCCTAACCCTAGCCTATTTGAATACGTCTACCCTAACCTTATCCATTAAATTTTGAGTTTGGAAACCCTATCCCAAACCCTAACCCTAGCCTATTTTGAATTTGTCAACCCTAACCCTAACCCTAGCGTATTTTGAATTTGCCAAACTTAACCCTAACCATTAAATTTTGAATTTGTCAACCCTAACCCTAGCCATTAAATTTTTAGTTTATAAACCCTAAACTTAGCCTATTTTGAAATTGTCAACCCTAACTTTAATCATTTAATTTCGAATTTGTAAACCCTAACCCTAACCCTCTAATTTCATTTTTGAATTTGTCAACCCTAACCCTAGCCATTACATTTTCAGTTTGTAAAACCCTAACCCTTGCTCATTTTAAATTCGTTAACCCTAACCCTATCCCATAAATTAGGAATCCGTTAACACTAACCCTATGCTTTAAATTTTCATTCGGAAGCCCTAACACTATCCTTAAGAGTTTGAATTCGGTAACCCTGACCCTGTAATTTAAATATTAAACTTGTCAATCCAAACCCTATCCTTTAAATTTTTGTATTGTTAACCCTTACCCTATTGTACGAAACATGTTTCTGTTAGTGTACAGGACTGCATCCTATCAAAGCCGCCAGCTTGAAATGACATCAAAGCCTATCGATGGGCCGACAGTTATCGACTGAGTCGTGATAGATTTGATGACTTGGGAGGTCAAGATGCGAAACATTAATTCAATGGGCGAATCTGCAGGACGGAGGCCTATATGCATTATACAGAGGCTACGGAACCTGAAGTAAATAGATCGTATCACCCACGACAGCCCATTCGATGTCCCGAGCATCAGAGAAGCACTCATCCAACTGCATAAAAAGAATTATTACCAGGGATTAGCCCTAGATAAGAAAACCTATACTCTATACTGAAGTATTTATTCTTGAAATGAGATCAGCCATGAAAACATAATACTTCGTGCATGACT